GTCCGGCAGCGGCATAGGTGCAGGAGGACCGAAGAGGTTTCGGGGTGCTCCGCCTGGGCGGCTTCGTAGGCTTCCTAGGGCGCATCGATTCTTTTTTGGGGGTTTTGCTAGCTGCTAGAGCATCAGAGCTCGTACTAGGGTTTCAAAGCGAGTTTGGGGGTTTAGGGTTTAGGGTTTTCGGTTTAGGGTCAGTTGTGAGAGGGGCTTGCAGGATGTTTTGGTATCATGAAGTTTCAAGTTCGGGGCTCAGGGTTTCAAACACAGGGTTACTCGGTTGCTGATTGGCATTGTTATTCCTCCATCCTGTGACGATGATTACCAGATCTATTGCCTTGCATGTTGATCGGTTCTTAGTTCAGGACCTTCGGTTACTACTGAAGCCAAAGAGAGCACCGGTAAAGCTCGCAGGATTTAAGGGTTCAATAGTGTTCGTACTAACCCCAAACCCAAAACCCTTAATCCTAAACTCTAAGACACAAACCCTGCGCTACGTCGACAGTAAGGCAGCCCGGGCGTGAAGCAAGACGGACCACAGTGTGACATCCTTCTGCACGGTTTCATTCCCCAAAGGATCCTAGGTACCTACATCGTCTGAAGTATAATATAGGGTGTTTCTGATAAAGATTATTGTGCAAGTTTGTGAAGCACAATTTCCTGAACCACCGCCATACCATCATCATACAGGCTTGCTTGTGCCAGCATCTCTTGGTAGGAGTTTCGAATCGTGCAGGGGTCCGAATGTAGTCAGTGCTTCTTGCAACGGCCATACATGGGATATCCCAATACCCAGAAACACCAGGGCCTACATGATTGCTAATGCACCTCCTGTGGGTTCCCCATTATCTAGGATGACCAGTAGTACCCTTATTCCCTTGTTGTAGTCCTAGGTTCCTTATAAAGTTACCCAATACCAAAAAGGGAGCCCTTTTGTGTTCCTAGGTTACTGGGCATCCTAGTTATAAGTATAAGGATAGTGTCATATAGCCCAAAACTTTATTCTAATCTTCAAGGCCCTTCAATCATGGAACCGCTATCAACCTTTGTAGCAACCGTTTCAGGAACCCTAAACCCGGAACCCTCAATCCTAATTCCTAAACCCCAAACCCTAAGCCCGAAACCCCTGAAAGCCCTATAGATCCCTTATAGTAACCCTTATAGGTCCCTTTAAAGGAACCCTAAACCGCTTCTTCTTTCGGGCCCGCATATTACTAAGGATCCTTCGGGTGGTTTATGCTTTCAGGTCGAGTTTTGTCCCTTGGCGGGATGTCCGGCCATGAATGTATCAGGGTTTTGGGGTTTAATATGGGTTTTGGGTCTAGAACCCCCAAACCCTAAACCCCCAAACCCTAAACCCTGAACCCTGAAACTCTAAACCCCTACACCCTGAACCCCTAAACACTGAACCCCTAAACACCTAAACCCCTAAACCCTGAACCCTAAACACCTAAACCCCTAAACCCTGAACCCGAAACCCTGAACCCCTAAACTAGGGTGCCAGGTTGGGCTTTGAAGCTCGGAGTTTGGGGCTGCGGGTTGCGATGTAACGTAGGGGCCTTAATCGGTGTAGGGGCCGTAATAATTTGAATAGGGTGCTTTCAAAAGGGGTCTCTAAGGGATCTATAAGGGTACCATAATATAGTGGCCTTAATTTGTTGAATTGGGTTTTCGGGCCCATTATACTAGAGTTGTAGTACGGAGCCACCAAAATAGTATAGGTGACTGTTAAGGCTTCTATATTAGGGTGGGGCCAGGGTTCAGGTGTGCATGGAAGGCTAAAGCTTCAAGATCGAAAGTCCTAAATTTCCTCAAAGCCTTAATTAAGCCCCAAAGTCCTAAATTTCCCCAAAGCTCTAAGCCCCAAGCCTCCAGGATGTACCCAAAAAGCCCTGAAGCCTTCAGACTGTACCCTAAAAACCTAACAACTCTACAGGCCCTAGAGGGAGATAGGTTAGAAGCTGCCCCCCCCACCCTGTAATAGTGGTATAGTAGGATTATAATAGGGCCCTAATATAATCCTTATAGCCACTATTACAGTGTGGGGGCAGCTTCTAAGAGATAGGCCCTAAACCCTAAACCCTATAGATTCGAAGTTGGAGTTTTTGGCATTTGCAGTGTTTTTCGATCGTGAGTCCCGCCTTCCTCGGGTCTGAACGCTCATTTTTGTAGGGTTGGGAGCTCAGGGTTCATTCAGGGATGTGTAGGGTTTAGTGTTTAGAAATGTTTTAGGGTTTAGAGGTTTGGGTTTAGGGGTGCTTAATCAAAGATGTCTAGGCTTAAGGGTTTAAGTCCGGTTAGGTTCAGTCCATCCGTCAGACCTTTTCAATCAGCCGAGCCGAAACCCCAAAGACGGACACACTAATGAGGGAGTCGGGAAAAGTAGTAATAGCGTCCATTTATCGCACCTGCACTGCTGTATTGCTATATAGTATATTCTACCGCCAAAGCCCTATTACGTTCAATGTTTACCTAAGACGATACTTTAGGCACCCGTAGATTGTAAGGCTCGAGCCATCGCACGTTTGCACCCGCAGCTTTGGAAAATGCTCGTGTTCCGGTGTCCCCAATACTGCTCAATTCAGGAACATCCTTACATGATACGCGGCTTCTTACGATGAGCAAAGGAAGATGCTTGACTTGCGTGATATTATGCTTTCTGTTTTCTGGCTGGCTCGTCAAGCCTAACCTCCCGAAGCCATGCCGATCGGGGTATCTTGGGCATGACCGTTGTACAGTAGGAGCGTAGCGGATGCCAAGAGCTTCGCGCGGATGCAGGTTCATGGTGTTCCCAGAGGCTCCAGTATCCCTTAGTTAAGGAATATACCGTAAATTATAGTAGGATCCCTAATATGGAATACCGAGGTAGTTCGTTACGGCTAGTTGTTCATGCCACTGCATACAAATCTACAACATAGCCGCTGCCGCCACTTGAATGAAATCCGACATGTACTGCAGTGAACAACCACATCTGTCTGATTAGCTTCTAAGCTACGACAACGTCGTGAATCACAAGCACCAGCAGCAGCAACAAGAACAACAGGAACACGGCTTATACCATGCTGCAGCACCGCCAACAATCAAGACTTGCTGACGATGGTTGCGAAGCAGATTTTCCGAAACCAACACACAGCGAATCATATTCCGCTCGGACGCCGAAGCTTCACTGGCCCAATGATCAAGTAAGTATCGTTTTCAAGGGAAGCACAGAGACGCCCTAAAACGGTTTAGGGTTTAGGATTCTACACCTAAGACAGCTTTCGACTCGAACGGGAGACTCGATACCCTTGACACCCAAGCCGTCAGCGCCGTATGCACTGAGCCTTCGGCCATGAACCCAGACCTGAAATCCGAATAACTATACCTTTAAAAGACATGTTTACAAAAAGCGATATTAGGGAACCCTGAAAAGGTAGGTTCTTCCGGGTTGAGGTAATCATAATGCCTACACCCCGAACACAAACACTCTGAAGCCTAACCCCGAAGCCGTAAACCTCTTCGCTCCGCAGCTTGAAACAGTTCAGCGCAGCCATGGCTACGCGGGGGATCCGGTTGCCGAGGCAGCTGGCGCAGGCAGCGACGCGGGATAGCTGTGGTTGAGGGCTCCGAGTTGTGGGATTTGGGGTTTACATTTGGGCATTGAGGGTTCAATCAACTAGCGGGAAGCTGTTGGCATGGGATTGACGAAGGCAAGACACGCCCAGCATGCAGGAAGGCCACAGTGCAGCGAATTTTGCACGAACGGAAAGGCAGCACCCTAAACGTGAAGCGTGATGAAACCTCAACCTCTGGACAAACAATAGAGTTTACTCAGTATATAATATTAAAATGTCTAAACTGCTTGTCTTACTGTTACCATAAGATTAGAATCGTCGCACTAAGGGGGCTCCAGACGTGTTTTCGCGAGCAGTCCCCTCAAGCAGGCTCGCCTTCCGCTGAGCCTTGAAACCCTTTTTGCCACGTTTCCCAAACACTGCTTAAAGGATCATGGGACTTAGTAACTAGGGTTCCAATTAGGGTAACTATACTTATAAAGGTACTTGTCACCTTACTTGCTAAGTCCCATGATCCTCCAAGTGTACCCTGAACCCAGATTCTAATCCAACGAAAGTGGACCTTGCCAAGTGCAAGGTTGGGAGTGTCAAGCTGGGGTTAATGGGTTTGGGTGGGCAGGTGGGGAGGGCTTTCGGCCTAGAAGGGCTTTGGCCCTCAAGGCCTTTACCAAAGTTCGGTAAGACTGCTATATAGATCCTTATAGCAGATTACAGTAAATTAAAATATACTAGTTTTTAGCTCACTAATAGTACGTTAGCTTATTGTAGTATATTCAACCCTCACACATGACATACCTGAAAAGCCAATGTCAACCTAAACCAAGTCAACCTGGAAGCTCCTGTGGAGGTTTATCCGCTTTGCTGGGCGGGCCGCGCCGCGCAGGGTGCTCAGGGTCACCGGAGGCAAGGAGATTTGTTGATATGTGGCGTTTACCCAGACCTTTCAAACTCCCTTAAAGGAGTATATGCCTTACTTAAATTATAGTAGGATCCCTAATATACTGTAAGGTTAAAGGATTTTTGGAAGGCTTGGGTAGATGGCAGTTGATGGGGTTTGCAGATTTTTCAGGGCTTTCAAGGTTGACCAAGGTTCAGGATCTAGGTCGCGGGATTTTGGGCCTTTAAGGGTTCCTTTAAGGGGATCTATTGGGTTCCTTTCAAGGTTGGTTTAGGCGGAACCCTGTAGCCTTCACAGTAAACCCCATAAAGTTGGAAACCGGATTAAGGCCAAATAGTGCTGGGACTCCCTCTACATTACTCTTAAGGATTGAGGCTACGGGGTTTCGAACTTTTGGGCTTCTACTGTAGGGTTATGGGTTGTTGCGCTTCAGGATTTTGGGTTGTAACTGCCGGGGTGTACAGTAGAAGCCAGAAAGTTGGAATATCATTATCGTAACCCCTAGGGCTCAGAAAACAGGCGACAGCGCCTGATTGCCGTAGCCCCAGGCCCCCATGCCATGGCCCTACAGGGAAGGGGGGTCGCTCAGAAGCCACGGCAGAGGAGTTCGCGGCTGGCTTCAAGAAGACGGCTTTCGCACGGAGCTGGCGATGAACAACCAGTTGACCACTCGTTTCAGGACCTATTTCCTGTTGGATGCGGCAGATGTCTCTGCCCTGGCAGGTGTCTTTGGTCTCTTACATTTGGTCCCATACCTTTGCGTCCACTTTATGTTGACGTACTCTGCCCCGGTCATCTCGGCTGAGAAGGATTACCATGAGCACCAGTGGGGAATGCTGCTGAACCGACTGCCTCATTGCCCCCTAAGTGGCGTGAACGTGGATATCACTGAGTCTCAGGCCAAGCTGGTCCTATACCCGTGCATCCACTTCATGTTGATGTCTTATGCCTCGGTCTTCACGGCTGCGAATGCTTACCTTGAGCACCAGTGGGGAATGCTGCTGAACCGACTGCCTGATTGCCCCCTAAGTGGCTTGAACGTGGATATCACTGAGTCTCAGGCCAAGCTGGTCCTATACCCGCGCATCCACTTCATGTTGATGTCTTATGCCTCGGTCTTCACGGCTGCGAAGGCTTACCTTGAGCACCAGTGGGGAATACTGCTGAACCGACTGCTTCATCGCCCCCTAAGTGGCTTGAACGTGGATATCACTGAGTCTCAGGCCAAGCTGGTCCTATACCCGCGCATCCACTTCATGTTGATGTCTTATGCCTCGGTCTTCACGGCTGCGAACGCTTACCTTGAGCACCAGTGGGGAATACTGCTGAGCCGATTGCCGGATTGCCCCCTGAGTAGCTCGAACTTGCTGGAACGTAAGAGTGCTCGACATATGTATGTGTATATACGAAGCAAGTTGGCAAGTCAGACCTGCCAACCCCTTGGCCGTGCGAGCCCTCCTCAAAGATGTGGCATTACACCCTTTGGCTCTGATTTTTCGATGTGTACACGGTGTCACTGCACATTCGGGAATGCTTGAGTGAGCACAGTTCTTTTGAAGTGTGGGGCATGCTAGCTTTGTTCTTGCCTCTCCCAGCCCCTGGAGGAATGCTCAAAGCTGGACCGCAGGGAAGTCTGATGATCAGCTCTCCCTGTTGTCGTCTGTAGGTTTGTTGCTGGCTTCGTGGTCGTTCATGGGCCAGCTTTTGTTGTTGTCACGCTTTTGGAGGGTTCACGCTCCCGAGCCTGATTGCGTGTGTCAGTGCTTTTAAATGAGAGGCGCTCGGATTGGCCAGACAGTTTTTAGCCCTGGAAGTGGCTGCTGGGTTCATCTGGTGATCTTTTTTCGATTTTGCCTCTCATCGCAGATTTCTGCGCCACGGGCCCTAAATTTTAAAGGACTGTGAGCGCATACTGCTTTCCAATCTAATTAGGTGCTTGTTGAATTCTTATGCATGTGGCGCGTCCTCAGGACCCCAAGCCATCGAGAAAGAAAGAATCGTAACCCCTTTAAGGTGAATTATAGGGGATCCTACCATTAATCCATATTCCAACTTTCTGGAGTTCCCTTTAGGGTCGTGGTTTAGAGTTTAATCCGAGAACTGGTGGCCTAGATGAGTAGTTGTCGAAATTATGGTCCCTTTTTGGATCCCTAATATAACACGGCACCTAATATTTAGGGAACCCACAAGGAGACCCTAATTCTGAGAGCCACCCAGATGTTTCAGGGTCTTTCAGGCTGAGATTTGTTTTCTGGGATGCAGGGCTGAGGGCAGGCTTTACTTTAAACCAAGTATGAAATTCGGCCTTGCGTACCAAGGCCTTGAGCTGCACGGAAAAAATCCTTAAAGCCGTAGACACTGAGGCGGCAGCCTCTCTAGCCTCTCTATGCCCGAACCCTCTCAGCCCTAAAAGCCCCCAAGCTCTGTGCCTCTTAGGGGCTCTGGGATTTAGGGTTTAGGGCTTAAAGCCTGGATCGTGGACTTGCAAAGGTCATCATCTTCTTCCGCGCCTGCATCCTCCCGACCTGGCGCGAAGGCGGGTGTCTGCAGTCGGGACCATCTCAAGCGGATTTCCCAAAGTATCATTGTCCGCAGAAGCAACAGCGGCAGAATATTCTATTGCTATAGTGGTGTCATTGTTGTTCCTATTGGTGTTGCAGCACTTACGGCTGATGCCTACACCTGTCCTGTTCAAAGACTCTGCCAGCAAGTGCGGTCCATTCAGGTCGAAAGGATTGTTCGCCCAGTGGACTCTGAACATAGGGGTTTCGGGCTGAGGTTTAAGAGACCGCAGGTTCTGTTGAGGACCGAGTCTTAGGGCCTTGGTTGCAGATCTCGGGATTGATGACCCCTTCCCACCAAAACATAAAGATGTCCCTACCTGTACTGTAAGAAGTAGTAGTTGTTACGTTGTTGTAGCAGATGTCGCAACAGTAGCGACGTCAGCACCAGCGGCACTAGCAGGGCCACGACCAAATCCTCTTCCTACCACAGTAAGTTACTTACTACTAGCTACTAGACCCAGTGCTGCTGGTTGCACCACTGGTAGTAATACTCCGAGCACCACTGTATGTAGTTCCCACTCTTCCTATTCCTAGTAGTATCACCAAGAGACCAAGAGCATCGAATGGATAAGAGTGGTGGCGTTAAAGCAGTACAGCATGTGGCTACCATGGAGCCATCAAATTCTGCCCGGTTTATGCTCAGGGCGAGGAATTAAGCTCTTTGGTTTCGGGCTCAAGCACTTGAAGCGTTTGTTGAGGTGGGTAACATAGATCCCTGCGAAGCGAACTGGAGCCGGTGTGGATCTTGCGATAAGTGTAACAGTAACATGTCTATCCGGGTGATATGGACAGGGAGATGCTGGAACGACGGAAGTTCCAGCTACTTGGGGGAGTGCTGTGGAGATCTCGACCTACCCCGAAATCCTGAACCCGATGGCTTGAAGATTTGAAGCTTAAGGCGGGGGGGGGGGTCGCCAAGCCGTGAACTAAGAAAGACCTGGACTCTGCCCATGGACAGGATGCAGAGCTTGTGTTTGCCAGTCTCTCCAAGACGATCCACCGCGGGCGGCGCTCCAAGCACTTTGCTGGGATTTTCAGGCCTTTGCATGTTGTTTCTCGAGACATGATTTGCGCTTCTGGGTAAAACCGTGGCATCGTTGGGAACTTCTAAGACATCAGCGACACACTTCCAGAGGTCCGTGGTTTTGAATACTCTGCTAAGAGGTTCTTAGTAGATTTGTCCTTTCTGCAATGCTACAGTTCACCAACTACGAGTACTCTTGAACGTGAACATGTTTCTATAGGATGGTCCAATTTGGCTTTAGTCATAATGTTGACCATCGCAATGCCCGCCGCAAGGAGATTTCGGCGTTGTCTCGAGGTTAAGGTTTAGGGCTCAGGACTGCGTTGAACGTAGCATAGAAGTGCAGGAGACGCTCGCTTGTACGAGCAGCGCTTAGACACTCGAGTAATCATACTGAGAACAATGGCAAGAATCCTCTCAAACGTCTGTGCGGCAAGCATGGTATGTGCTGCAAAACCCCCGGGAGCTTTGCCCCGGACTGTAATCATGCCGCAGCACATTGTGGCTGACAGGAGTCCAGCGTAAGCAGCAGTTGGTATCCTCCCCTCTGAGATGCTGCAGATGGCCCATGTGCCAAAATGGGCGCTCCTGTCTGCATTGATTCTAGGCATGTTGGCACTTGTTTGGGTGATGAAGCCCTGGTGCAATGACATGTGCCGATACGATGAGTTTCGCGAGAAGCTGGAGCGTGAAGGTGACATATGCCAGTATGTTGAAGCTCTTGTCAAGATGGCTGGCAGTGAGGTGAAGGGGCTTTCCACTATGAGAGGTGTTTGTGATTTGTGCTCCAAGCCACCGGCACCATGGAAAGACATGGATTGTTGCGCACTGCTGCCAAGCCAGCAGCTGAACCAAACTAAAGACGCAGCCCACATCAAGCTGCTCGAGCAACATTTGCGTCGGGTTCCAGAACAGATTACGGCTGCGACCCGGACAGTAGGCAACAATTCCATGGCAGGAAAAGTCCTTGCGGCAGCTCGTGACAACACTGCCTCGAATCTGCAGACTATTGCAGTTGTTCTGGAAAGCCTTGCCAGAGACGCCCCGGCAGCTCGAACGGGCTCTGAGGGAGAGGTCCGCTTGTCACAGGCGAGTCACCTGCCGGAGTCCACTCCATCGAGTTCATGGCTTGGCTGGCTTGGCGGACGTGAAGGGTCCGCACAGCAACAAACCGCTTCGAGTCAAGAACCCACGTCATGGAGCTCATGGATGGGTGGACATGGAGGGCCCGGAAAGCAACAGACCGATCAGAGTCAGGAATCCGCTTCGTCGAGGTCATGGTTTGGCCTGCAACCAAGTGGTCCCAGTCAAGAATCCTCGCTGTTGACTTCATGGCTTGGGGGGCAAGAAGGGCCCGGAAAGCAACACTCCGGTCAGAGTCAGGAATCCGCTTCGTCGGGATCGTCGGGTTCATGGTTTGGCCAGCAACCAACCGGTCCCAGTCAAAAATCCTGGCCATTGACTTCATGGTTTGGGGGGCATGAAGGGCCTGGAAAGCAACACTCCGGTCAGAGTCAGGAGTCCGCTTCGTCGAGGTCATGGTTTGGCCTGCAACCAAGTGGTCCCAGTCAAGAATCCTCGCTGTTGACTTCATGGCTTGGGGGGCAAGAAGGGCCCGGAAAGCAACACTCCGGTCAGAGTCAGGAATCCGCTTCGTCGGGATCGTCGGGTTCATGGTTTGGCCAGCAACCAACCGGTCCCAGTCAAGAAACCTCGCCATTGACTTCATGGCTTGGGGGACATGAAGAGCCTGGAAAGCAACACTCTGGTCAGAGTCAGGAGTCCGCTTCGTCGAGGTCATGGTTTGGCCTGCAACCAAGTGGTCCCAGCCAAGAATCCTCGCTGTTGACTTCATGGCTTGGGGGGCAAGAAGGGCCCGGAAAGCAACACTCCGGTCAGAGTCAGGAATCCGCTTCGTCGGGATCGTCGGGTTCATGGTTTGGCCAGCAACCAACCGGTCCCAGTCAAGAAACCTCGCCATTGACTTCATGGCTTGGGGGACATGAAGGGCCCGGAAAGCAACACTCCAGTCAGAGTCAGGAATCCGCTTCGTCGAGTTCATGGTTTGGCCAGCAACCAAGTGGTCCCAGTCAAGAATCCGCGCTGTTGGCTTCATGGCGTGGGGGACAGGGAGGGCCCGGACAGCAACACTCGCCTGGAAAGCAACACTCCGGTCAGAGTCAGGAATCCGCTTCGTCGAGTTCATGGTTTGGCCAGCAACCAAGTGGACCCAGTCACGAATCCGCGCTGTTGACTTCATGGCTTGGGGGACAGGGAGGGTCGGGAAAGCAACAGTCCGGTCAGAGTCAGGAATCTGCTTCGTCGGGATCGTCGGGTTCATGGTTTGGCCAGCAACCAACCGGTCCCAGTCAAGAAACCTCGCCGTTGGCTTCATGGCTTGGGGGACATGACGGATCCGGAAAGCAGCACACCGGCCCCAATCAGATATCCAGTCCATGGTTTTTAGGCCAAGAAGGGCACGGCGTCGCGGGACGTGAAGGATCAGGAGATCAACAAGCGGATGACCTGGAGCAATCCGTTCTGCTAAGTTCATGGCTCAGCAGGCATGGAGGGCCAAGAGATCAACAGCCGGATCATCCACAGGAATCTCTTCGGTCCAGTTCATGGTCCAGCGAACCTGAATGGCCGCCACGACAAACAGGTGATCCATGTCAGGAATCCAACGAGCGGGGACAGGGCAGCGTCCTCAACAAAACGTGGGTGGTTCGTGACTGGCAACTTGGCGCTTGCAAGTTCTAGTGTGGTAGCTAGGGCCTGCCGGGTTTGCCATGGCTGCTTCCGTTTGTATATGGCAGCTTCTCAAGACAAACCACATGTATTCGCGAATAGAAGCACCATACTCCCCTTCTCATCTTTGTGTATCCAAACGCCCCTACTCGGGAGACTCGTAGAAGACCGCTCGTTCGCAAGATAATGTCTATGGATGGGT